TTTCTTGGATTAAAGGTAAAACAGGGATGGATTTGATAGAGAAATTTTGGTAAGACGGTCCAAGGGAGGCGCTTAAGTCAGTTAACCGAGTTTTTGGATGTTCTTTTATTCTGTACAACCTTTGTCATTGTGGCTGACAAGAGGTTTTAAGGGAAATTATATTCCGTGTGTCTTTTTTTGTTTTTCTTTTTACACACCCTAAAGTTCACTATTTAATATTGTAAAGGGTTAAATTTTTAACAGTAATTTTAAATTAAAATTTTTATTAAATTAATATGAAGTATTAACTCAATAAAACTCATATTAATATTATGTTTTATGTTTATTTTTTTTGTAAGATGATATTTTTATTCACTTTGTAACGAGTATGGATACTCTTTGTATTTTAATTAATAATATTTTTTCTTGTAAATGAAAAAAAAAAATTACTCTCCACATAAACTTGAAATTGATCTTTCGTTAGTATAGGAGTTGTATTCACATGTTTAAACTCATTTCATCGACATGTTTGATTTATATTAACATAAAAGAAAGTATTGGTTGAAGAATCTCTATATCATACTACATGTGATCAAATTATAATTATTTAGTTTAAATTACTATTATTTAGTTTAAATTACATAAAAAATATAATTTAAATTAAAAAAATATATTTTAAAATAATATCATAATATTTCGAAGCACATACTTTTTTCATTAACAAAAATAATTTCATTAAATAAGAGTACGCATGGAGTGATATTTTTTTGATTGAATCTCAAAAAATATAACAAGAAAGTCAATATTTTAAATCACAAATACTCGTTGAATACTACACAATCTTATTTGTTGTTTTTTAGCATCAAACAATCAAAGGATGATCGAGATGTCTATCACCTTAACTTTTTTGATGATTTTTCAAATAAATAACTATTTATAAAAATTAAACTCTATAAGAATAGCCTTCTATCCATTTTCCTCAGCTTTAGTAGACCAGGCAAAAAATTTGAAATGCCCTGTTGTGTGGGCAAAGGTTATGATCTTTACTTATTCACTGCAGTATGCATAGCCACTTAGATTCTCATTATAATCCTCAAAGTACACAATCAATCATTTCAAGAACTCGTCATCACTTATGGTTTCAAATATTACAAGCAAGATAACAATGTCCACTTGCTCATGTCACAGCCACATTCATTTGCCAAAGGTCACTTAAAATACCCCACCTAAAACATATTTAGAATGCCACAGTTTAATTTCCAATTCAAAATTCTACCAAAGGCAAAATAATAATAATAAAAATAATAAGAGCTGAAACAATAACTTAAAGTACTTCTTTGGTTGCGTCTCATTGAACCTGCATAGAAATAATTAGGAGTTTAGGATTTCCTTCTCTCGACCTTAGAAAACATTAGAAGTTGAGATTTCTACATTGCTTCTCAACATCTTTGAGGTCCACGCAGAAGAAATACATCCTTTAAGGTCAGTTCCTTTCAAAATAGCGACTTTCTTGAAAAAAAAGGGGGGAGTTATCTTTAAACAATTTAAAAATTGAGACCAACTAAATTCTAAAAGAATTCCCAAATAAAGCAGGTCCAACAAAATTTAACCTTGAGGCCCAACTTGACTTAATTTACTTTTTGCTTTTAGTCCAATTTAATGGGGCTCCAAACGCAGACCCAAAAATAAAAAGGCAGAAGTAAAAGTTAATGAACCATTGTCAACTGAAAAGCACAAGCATGGCTGCACCGGAAAGTATGTAATTACACACCTGAGAGTGATGAAGGCTGGAATTAAAAAGGGCGAGTGAACGTTCCTTCTTTGACAATTTCAGAGTCAGTGGTCTCTAATACGTCACCAGGAGTTTTGTTTGTAACTAAAGCGTACCAAAGAGCAGCACTGCAGAGACGTCAATAATTTTTTTTCTTATTATTAATGTAACAATGGAAGAAAGACCAAAGATAATTAGAGGCATTGGTAAAAGTAGAAAGTTATAATTAAGTTCAATTACTAGGGTGTATTTTACCCTAAGATAAAAAAAAATGTATTTTAAGTCGGATTATATATTAAAAGTGTAATTTCAACATTGAAAAATTATAAAAATATTCCTAATGAAACTCTTCCTTATATTTATTCATTGTAATTTAGTAATTTTAGTGATAGAATTGTGCTTTTAATGTTCAGTCTAAACTAAAATACATGAAATTATATATATAAAACCTTATGCTGCAGGCATTAAAACTTATTGCTTTTTGTTTTTTTTTTTTCTTATTGTGTTTAATGTTTTTGAAATAAAAAACCACTAAATAAGTAAATAATACTGTATACATAAATGAAACGAGGCATGGATGTAACTAGAGAAAAATTGGACATGATAGAAGTTTACCTTGACATCCAAAGGTTAGATAAGGATTGCCTTGAAATCCAGGATCACAAAGACATTGTCATGTTGTGTCTAGGGGCATTAAAGTGGAAGAAAAACCATGGACGATATAATTCTTATAATGGATACAATAAAATGCATGATCATATTTGTAGGGTAATCGTGTTGCATCCACCTCATTAATCACCCAGTTAAGCACATCTTTAACATATTCCTCAGGGTCAAGTGGGGAACCAAGGGGGAGATGTAAGGACTTCCTGAGAAATTCACAGATTTCAACTCTGTAGACAAGTTTCGGGGGATTATTGGTATTTTAACGGCAACAAAGTTTGAATCAAGAGAGAAATACGGCACCTCAATTTCTATGCTGCTGGTTAGTAAAGTTGTAGGAGGGGTGGAAGTTTCATTGCAGGAGATCTCAAACCATTTGTTCTTGTAGCAATCTGCTCCAATTCCAAAGGGGGAAGGAATGCTGACATTCCCACAAAACTCTTGACAACCGGGCGTTCCCAGAGCCTGGCCTCCTGCTGATTCAATCATTAGCAGTTCTAAGAAAGCAAAAATAGATAATGTTCGGATGATCATTATTCTTTTGTTCCTCAGATGCTTATTAGATATGAGATTTAGATAGCATTGTGTAAATGGAACTTTATAGTATATAGTTGAGATGAAGAAATGTATCCA